GTGCGCTACGCCTGCATCGAGTCGCTCGACGACGACGTGGCCGCGATCCTCGGCGCCTGGGGGCGCGCGCCGAACGCCAAGGGGCTCAAGAACGCGACGAAGCACCAGTCCCAGAACGCGTCGGACGCGCCGACGACGCGGAGGAGCTTCATCAGCGACCGCAACGCGGCGCGCGTCGAGGCGCTCTACGCCGCGGACGCCGCGCTCCACGCCCGGCACTGCGCCGCGGACCGCGGCCGCGAGCCCGGCGGCGAGACGTTCCGCTTTCGGCCGCGGTAATTAGGAGATAGCGAAGGCGGCGAAGTAGGAGAGGGCCGCGGGGCCGAGGTCCGCGCCGGCGACGGGCGCGACGCCGGCGACGACGCCCGCCGCGGTCCGCGGCCGGCCGACGGACAGGCGCACGGCCCCGTCCGCGTAGCGGAGCGCGAGCGCGTGCTCCGGCACAGCGCCGGCGCCGGCGACGAAGCGGTCCGCGCGGGCGCCGACGGCGAGCTGGCTCTCGTGGAGGCCGAACGCGGCGGCGCAGAGCTTCAGAGCGGCCGTCGCGAGCGCGCGGAACGCGTCGCGCGCGGCGGCGACGCGCTCGTCGGCGTCCTCGTCGAGGCTCCCGTTCGTTTGTGCCGCCGTCGCCGCGCGCTCAAAGACGTCGAGCGTCGCGGCGGGGATGCCCGCGAGCACGCAGCAGGCCCCGGCGGCGCAGCAGGCCTCCTTGAGCTGGCTGGCGGCGTGGCGCTGGCGCTCGGTGAGCGCGGCGGCGGCGCAGAGCGTGAGGTGGCGCGGATCGCAGGTGACTAGCCAGTCGGTGACGTCGAGCTCTATCATTTTCAAGGGCAGTAAGCGCTATGGCTGCCCATGCTGCCCATGCTGCCCATGCTGCCCAATACTGCCCATGCTGCCCAAGAATTGCGGCCCGCATGGCAATGTTGATGTGCGCATCCGATGCAACTTTAGCTCGAGTGGCAAAGAGATGGTGGCCCTCGTGACCCTCTAAGCAACGCGCGCTGCGAGCAAGCCCACGACCATCGACAAAAGAACATGGCATCCCTCGAGGAGCGCGTCGTCGCGTGGCTGCGCGAGGAGAAGGTCAAGCTCTGGCTCGCGCCCTACGACGACGACGGCGCCCTCACCGCCACAGCGAGCACCTACGCAGCCGCGCTCGACGAAGCAGACGTCGCGGCCGTCGCCGCGACGCTGCGCGACCTGCGGCGGCGCGCCGTCGAGAAGCTCGCGGCGAAGCGGCGGCGCACCGTGCGCGGCGCCGGCGCGGCGGGCGAGCCGTTCGAGGTCGCGCTCGACGGCGGCACGGCCGGCGCCGACGCGCGCGCCGTGCTCGCGGCGGCCGGCGGCTACGACGGCCGCGTCCGCGTCATCGCCGGCGGCCGCGCGCTCGTCGACGGCGCGACGCTCGCGGCGCAGGGCTGGCCGTCGGACGCCGAGCGGGCGGGCCGGCCGCTGCGCGCGATCCTGATCGCGGAGCCGGCGGCGCCCGCGGTCGACGAGCCGTCGGAGGTCGACCGGCTCCTGGACGCCTGCGACCGGCTCGCGCGCGACCGCGCGTTCGACATCTCCGACGGGCGGAGCGGCCGGCGCGTGCGGGTGCCGCCCGCCGCGCGGCCCGCGCTCGTCCAGGCCGTCGCGCTCCACGCGCGCGGCAAGCGGTGCGGCGACGCGGCCGCGGCCATCGACTTTTTTCTCGCCGCGGACGAGGCCTTCGACCGCGTCCGCGCGGCGGCGCCGGCGCTCGTGGACGAGGTCGACAATTTCGGCTTTTTGCAGCTCGACTTGTGCCGCGCCTACGCGCTCCTGGGCGACGGCGCGTGCCTCGACGACGCGGAGCGG